CTATTTTGGTCGCATAACACTGTTAATCTTTGGAGATAGTGGAGTTCATATTAAACCGATTAGGCCCATTAAATCCATTTTTAACAGTGTGGTCATCTGACAGCACATGCTCCGTGAGGCAGACTGGACCCCCCCCCCCCCCCCCCGCATAATCCCGGCCTCATTCACAGAGTTTGCCTGGACGATCCCGACGCTGGCTGGGAAGACAGGGAGAGGGGGAGGGGAAGAGTCCTTACAAAATAGCAGCGTCTGAAGGTTTCAACGCCGGCGTTCAGTCCTTGCTGATTCCAGGGGAAAAGAGTGACATGTTATTTGCAACTTCTCCCTGGATTTATCTTGACTGAGCTACCCCAGTGGGTCAAACAAATCAACGATGCTGCTTTTCAGGGCATTACAGAAACAATTAAACATAGGGGACCCAGAGAGCACGTCCCGGCAATTCAACCTAATCCCCAACCAAAGATCCATCCCCAGAGCCTGCGAAGGGGAATCTGTGCAGAGAGACTTTTTTAGTAATTCAATCCATTCCCAAGCGAGCAGAGCCCTGGGGCATTCATCTCATCCTGGCCACATTCAGTGATTCTGTGGCAGCTGCAGGAACACCTTGCGCTTTGAAGGCTAGAAGCCCCATGGGAGAAACCTGAGCCAAAACATAGTCTGCTCCCTTTGCAACAAGAATCCCACAAGCCCGGTCTGAAGACAGAATGGTTTTTACACAGGGAAATAAGGCAGGGTAGCTGGATCTCTCTTTGATCCATCAGAATGAAGCTCAGATGCATTCACTACCACATAGAAACCCACAGGAGTACATCTGCTCCAAGCACGGCTCTGATCTCCAAGCATCAATGGATGTCCAACCACGGTATAAACCCCTGGGAATCAGGGTTTAGCTAGGACAGACTCACCTGTTGTCAACTCCAGGGATTTTAGTTCTAGCCCATTGTCAAGATCATTTCAAAGGTGCTGTCTAACAGGTGCTGGTGCTTTCACCGCCTGCAATATGCAGAGAGATAAGACTACCTTCTGCCCACAGCACACAAAGCGCAGGTGCGCAGCTCCCTCAGGCTCTGCAGAACGCATGTCTGGAGAAAAGGGCTGGACCTGGGGTCACTTGCAGCTCAGGGAAGCCTGGAACAGATTGGAGCTACCAAACCGGAGGGCTAATCATTTTCACCAACAAGAGAGCGCCAACGTTTCTACTTTATTTAGATGTAAAAAAAAAAAGCCTCTATAAAAAATAAATCAAGGTAGTGAGAATTCACTAGTAGGTGGCTCTAATCTTTTGGCCAAGGCTGGTATGAACACAGTCTTTCTGTCCCTGAGAACGCCTCACTCAAATGCCAGCAAACTAGATCAAACCCCAAGGCTGGGATGCTGTGTCACTGCCTAGAATTAAAAACACAACTCAGCTCGGTTGCTCCTGAGGCGCCTGCTTGGAGGTTCAGCCGTTTTCAGGCTGGGCTGGAGAAGTTTGGGGATCCTGTCCCAAGTTCTCTGTCCCTTCATGGTCTCCTTGAGTCTCTGTGACATTAACTCGGCTTTCCACAGCACTGAGCGTCGAGTGCAGCTTCCGTCTTTTCTTCAGGTGGTGGAGGTGGGACTTGGACTTTGTGTGAGCTGAGGGCAAAGACAAAGCAGAGCATGCGACTCAGGGGGATCTTGGGGAAGTAAATACCCAACTCGTCCAATCCTGAGCACCCTCAACTCCCATTCGCTACTACCGGGGAGGGGGAGGGGGGTATGCTCATTACCTCATAGGATCCGGCTCTCAAGCCCCTTTAGCCCCTGTTCCAGTCACTCCTAGACGTATTCCTTTCAGGCCAAACCAATTCATTCTCGTTCTTAGCACTAGGGGGAAAGGCCTTGGTGTGTTTAAAATCCTGTCACCCACTTGAATAATCCAAATGGATAAACATTATATTATAGCACACACACACACACACTGCACTTTAAAGAGAGACGCAAAACCATTTTTGTGCCAAAAGACTCACAAATGGGTGACCCCTACACTGCTGACGAGTCTCGCCCTCAGTGAGGAACAGCTGCCGTGAGACTTGTATCACAAAATGGTTTTCGTATCTTTGTTGGACAATTGTCTGCAGCACCACGAAGTGGTGCCAAAAATATGTCTTTATATACAATCTGCCATAGCTGGGTGTTTTGTGTGTCTACAGACTGGATGACGTTAACACCTACAGAGTTGTGCAAAAGCACAGGTGTGCCACAGGTAGGCCCTGATCCTGCAAACACTCACGCTTGTGCATTCCTTTAAGCACACAAGCAGTCCCATTGCTTAGGCCTGGCCTACACTCAAAGTTTTACTGGCATTACTATGTCCGTAAGAGGTATGATTAATTTACAACACAGTTATGCCAGGCAAAACACCAGTGTACATGCAGTTATATCGGTATAAGGTGCTTCACCGAACCAGAATAACAACGGCAGTATAAGCACTTTTATACTGGTATAACAGCCTCCACACTAGGGGGGTTTTGCTGCTCTAACCGTGCCGGCATAGTTCAGGCAGCAATACTTCAGTGTAGACAAGGCCTTAGTTAAGCATGTGCATATGTGTCTGCAGGATGGGGGCCCTAGGGTGTTTTCCAGACTTTTTTTTTGCCTCCTTCTAAAGAAAATTACATGCAAATTTGGTACTTTATTGCAATGTTATTGGGACACCATCAGGTTGCAATGAAATCGCACTTCTCTGAAGTTTTGTTACAAGTGATACCAAAGTTTAACAGAGACAGTACACATCTCTCCTGTCATTTGTGAGAGTCTTTCATTTTAAACAACATGAAAGTGCAACTGTAAAAAACAAAAAAAACCCACAAAAACTGAGAGGACCATCAGGGCAGGAGCAGTTTCTGAAACTACTTCTAACTCATTTTTAGAAACGGACTAGATTTCAAGTTGACTCTGTGCCCCCAGTGTTTTCATTTCCTGCCTGGTGTGTTTAAATTTGTAGCGTTAAGATTGCATTTAACGGCAACATTTCAGTTCAGTTCTACAGGAGTCCTCCCCTCCCCCCCAACACTGCTCCGACACCATTTATGGGTTCATGCCAAATATGGCTGGATACAGGGGATGCAGCATTGATCAAGGATAAATGAATATTATTAATAACTGGGAACTTGGGCAACACGCCCAGAAAAGGAATCTATTGACCTGTAACTGTCGCTTATGAAAGTAACACTCTGGTCATAATGCTTCCTGTGCCCTAGCAGCATGGAGTGAGCTCTCAGATCTTTCAGAGACACTCTCCTTGGTGTGTATGGATGTCTTTTAAAATGTCTTCAAACTAGTACAATACACAGATCTACTAAAAACCAGATAACTACATTTATGATCTAAGCATATTAAAGAGAATTGCTACATTAAAAACACCAACTTCCCTATGTTAGAAGCCGCTCCTTGGATCAATAAAACTAAATTAATCTTTAAAATCTAGTTCTCGCTATTAATACTGCATTTGCTTTCAGCATTTCACTCAGTTTGCACAATGAAGACAGACGTGTCAGTTTCATGTTTGTTGCTAGTCAGTTTCTATCCAATTTCACTTTGAGGTTCTGAGCTTCAGGGAAATGTTAATTTGTTTAAAATATTTTGATTCCAATGGGATTAAAATTCAATTTTCAAACTCATGGAAATGCTCCTATCAACGTCAGATCTGGGGAAAGCTTTAGTTTTACAAAACCTAAATGTTGGAGCAAACCCGACTTTTTAAAAACTTTCCAGGATATATTATTGTTGGTTTGAAATAAAAAAATGGATTGTAAAAGAAATAAGATTCTCAGTGCAGGTTCGCTAACCCTCCTGAATTGCTAGCAAGGGCCAGCGGCTCAGAACGAACACTGACAAATTTAGAAGCGATGCGCTAAGAAGCGTGTTTTGATGGAGAGGGCTCCCGCTGCCCACCGCCAGAAGAGAACGTGAGCTTTACTGTCTCCCTCCCCCCTAGCCCAGTGGTAAGAGCTGACAGATGGCTGCTATGGCATAGCTGACATACCCCCTCCAGGCTTGCAAGTGGCTGCTTTTATCAGAGGGCTGTAAACAATCCTTGGAAGCCTGAGATCATGTGATGAAGGTCATATGGCCAAGAGCAGGTATCTATGGACTCATTTTGTTCCCTTCGCACAAACTGCAATCTCCACATTTCAGTTGTCCCATATATATTTTCCCGCCCTCGGGATCCTACCTGCCCATTCTCTGTCCCCAATGATGACTCTGTTGCAGAGCTCACACATGTGATGACTCCGTTTGTCCTCCTTTATCTCGCTCTCCATCTTTACAGGGTCTGCCGATGGCTGCCGCCCCTGAGGTTACAAATGTGTCAGGTCAGTTTCTATTCAGCGGGGTTTCTCTCGTCACTGCCGGTCATGGGATTTGGAGATACGAGGCTTTCCTCCTGACCTTCGAGGGTCAGAGCTACGGAGTCCGTCTCCTCCCAGTATGAGAGGAGGGGCATGCTGAGTGTTTGGAGGTGCCTCGGTAACAGTGGGACACAGTCGGAAATCTGGAGTTAGAGAGATAACAATAGCCTGAGAGGGGCAAGTCTGGAGGCTAGAGGAGTAGAGAGGAAGCCCTTGGAGTTGGGAGGGACTGAGCTCTAGGTCAGAGGCATGGAGATGGCAATCTGCCAGGGTGGACCTCTGGGGAGAAGATCTCAGCTTGTAGCAGGGACACGCTGCAGTTCTGGCAACAGTCCCCACCCAGCGCAGGACAGAGAGATCAGACACACACCAAAATAAGTGTCTCCTAAGCAACTGCTCCCACAGACCCCTGGCCACAGATGAAGCTCACCTGGATGAAGCTCTCCACAATCTGAAGGGCAGGTTTCAACACATTCTCATCCCACTGTGAGAGATCAGACACCTCCAACCCATACACTGGGGGCACATTGGGTCCAGGGCCTAGGGAGAAACACAGAGCAGAAGCAATTCGCTGCCAGCAGTATCCTAGCCAATCAGTCGCAGTGTGGCTGCAGGACCCGAACATCCCTGGGAGACCCGTCTTCGCTGCAGGGGCCCCAGATTACCCTCACCGGCTTGTCCTTCAATGTTCCGAGACAGAGCGGTCCTGAGCCGGGATTACCAGAGCCCTTGGTTTGCTAGGAACTGCACATCCTCAATCCCAGCAGGGCAGTTTGCAGTCTAGGGGCAGGAAAGCAAACCCAACATCTAGAGCTTGGTAAGAGCCAGGCAAATTCTGCTCCCTTCATAACTACAACCCACTTCCCACCTGCACGGTCCACGGGAAAAGTCCACGCTCCCTCAGCCAGCAGAAGAGACAGAGACCCAGATGGCTCCAGCACATAGCAATTATGTGAGGTGCAGCTGTTCTTCTAGGCAGGCTCGAGCCTGGTGCTTGGGTCAGGTATTTGCCTGGGAGGGTCTCAGCCTGGCTGCTTTATTTACAGTGGTCACGGCTAATGAGGCCGCGGAGGTGGACGCGCTGCGGCCACGTCTGCAGGTAGCAATGGAGGTGCTTCATTTGAACGCCTGCATTTGATGTGGGGCTATTTTAAAACCAACCCATCTGCCTCCTTGAGCCAACGTGAGGGCGTTTGGCGCTTCCAGAGGCCTGGCCGGCACTCAGAGCACAGAGATGTCTGCAAAGCAGACAGCGCACACTCCCCAGCGATGTCGCTCCCCCGCCGTGCTGCCAGGACTCACCTGCCAGCCGGCAGAGCGAGCGCCTCGCCACTCAGACAAAGCCATCAAAGGCTGCAGCATCCGGCAGGTGCTGACTTTTATTGCTCCAACCACAGGCAAGGCTCTTAGGAGGCCGATCGAAGGCACACCTGTCCCCCACCTGCTGCTCGGCAGAAAGGTGAGACGCGGATGCTACGCACCTGGCCCCAGGAAAGCGCTGCACCCCGTTCAAAGCCAGGCTTTCGGCCTGGTTGGGTTTCTTTTTCTTGCCCCTACCAGCCACCTTTCAACAAATGCTCGGCTCCCAGCTGCTGATCCTGGCCCTGCTCCAGGGTGAGGGAAGTCCCACTGGCTTCCTGCCATCATGGTGTCCACGGCAGGCCCGTAACAGCCAATCGGCTGCAGCTCCTAATCTGGAGGGCAGCTGTCAGTTGGGCTTTTCACTCCAGCCCGGCACGCGTGTGGGCTCATGGGGAGAGGTAAACACGACGGGCAGATCCCCCATGGCCCCTTACAGGAGAGAGCTGGCCCGCGAGCAGCCAGGGATCCGACTGCCAGCAACAGCTAGCGCAGGAGGAGGGGACGTGTGGAGGGACGGGTGGCACGTGGGGCTTTGTTCTGCTGGGATTTTAGCCAGCAATGAGGGAGCTTCTCCTGGGAGGGGTGGAGACCTCCCTGTCACAGCTGGACAAGCAGGGAGTGGTGCACCGAAGAGGCCCTGGGAGGGAGCTCAGGAACATCCACTCCAGGTGGGATGGGGAATGACCACAGACAAGGCCGGGGCAGCAAGGTCTTGGGCAGGCCTGGTCCAGATGGGCCGGGAGCGAAGCAGGAACAGCACGTCCTGATGTGCCCAGGCAGCTTGAAGACAGGACACACCCAAAGCTTATTCACAGCAGAGGCTGCTGGACAGATCCCGGTAATTTGGGGAGCGGGCGGCCTCGCAGAGAACATCCATATGACTCAGCAGGAGGGAATTCATGCAGGAACAGTTCCCTCGGTGGCCCTGGGAGAGCCATGTTACGTAACTGTCCTTGGACATGGCCTCCACCCAGAGACGCTGCTATTTATCCAGCCACCCCGTCGTGTCCGGCCCCCTCCCTCCAGAGAGCTGCCTCGGCCGTAGAACCACAATGGCGGAGGAGAGCTCTTCGCAGGGAGGGGGGACCGTGGGGAGCAGGGTCAGAGCACGCCCTGTACGCAACTCACCCCCCTTGAGAGAACTCGGAGCCCCCACGGGCTGGACAGCAACTGACAAACCAGAGTTCGCTCGGCCACCAATAGCAGCCAGGCTCCCTTCTCCAGCCAGGAGGGAGGAGGATGCTGCACAGAGGGATGGAGGAGAAAGAGGAGGTCTGGGATCCGGGAGTGGGGCGTGAATGGGGCAGAGGATGAGAGGGGAGGGGACACTCCCAGGGCAGCTGGGGGTGGGGGCGAAGAAGGGATATAAACACTTACGTCTCAAGAAGCGGTTTCGGACCCACTTGTTCTGCTTCCGGGCGTATCTCTTTGTCACTAGTTTCAGGGCCTGGATCCCTTTCAAATGAAGGTAACAAAGCCGCTGTGAATTAGACTACATGGATGTTAAAGAAGCCAGTGGGAGCTAAGCGTGGGGCAGGGCGTGGGAAGGTGCGAACCCCAAGGGAGGAGGGGGATAGCCGGGCTAATGGGGGAGTGACCTCTAGGCTAATGATCAGGGAGGTCTCTCAGCAGGGGAAGGACTCTCCAAAGGGAAGGGATGGAAACACCATCATGGGGGACAGTTCAAACTCGATTGGGCAAGGCCCCGAGGAACAGTCTCTAGGGACAATTCTACAGAGGGCTCCAAGGGGATGGATTGGAGGCCTCAACAGATCTTCTCCATCTCTGGATCCAACCAAGGGGCAAGTGAGCAAACCCCTGGCTCACCAAGCAACGGCAAAGGAGTCTCCATCAGTCTCTAAGCATGGGAGATACCCTGCAGCCCAGCTCCAGGGAGCCCTTCCCCAGGGAGACAGCCTGGTTCAGCTGGCCAAAGGGCACCAGACCCTGCTCAAGACTCTGCCAAATGACACCAGCACCTCCTGCACTGCAGGGCTTGTCAGGCGTGGGTGGCTGGGACCTCCTGGGCCATTGCATAGTGCGGCTAGGGGTAGACACGAGACCCCCCTCAGGTGTGAGCAAGCGACAGCCTCCTGGGCAAGCAGTTCCCACCTTTCTCCAGCAGCAAGGCGCTGGTCTCCTGTGGGCACTTCCCCTCCGTGATAAGGTACTCGTGGAACTCCTTGAAGCCAATCGACTGGAAAATGCCATGCTGATAATCCTGGCTAGAGAAGAAGGTCACAGACAGCGGGTCAACCCCGTCCGCTGGAGCAAGGAGCTGCCCCCCTCTGTGCTGTGTCCCCACAATAGCAGCTCCCATCGGTTTAGAACAGCACAGCCATCACCGACCACATGGGAGCGACCCCAGCAATGGCCTGGGTCTGAGGTGTGGGGTGGGGATGTCCAGGTGCCCATACGAGGAGCCTGGCATCAGAGTTTACAGCCAGGAGGTACCATCACACCAGCCCAATCCTGGATGTCACAGGCCACTAAACACCCTCTAACTACCCCCACACCAAGCCCTTCAGCCACAATCTGCCCAAGTACTCAGCTCTCCAGGAGACTCGCGTATCGTAGGCCACAGGCAGCGAACAGGAGTATTGAGGTGCACCGACGCCCGAGGCCCTGCAACAACAGGGGATTGATTGAGTGCGAAGCAGCCAGCCGAACACTCACCAGTTCTCGGCCACCTTCTCCTGGTTGTAACGCCGGTGGAAGTCCCGCAGCTCCTCCAGGAGCCCCGCTGCCACCATGTCATCCACCCGCTTGTCCAGCCGCTCATCTAAAGCTGCCAGAGATCACAACAGCCATTCAAACACCCCGAGCTGCATTCGCAGGACGGAGAGCCCCAGCACCAAGAGCGCATGGCTTCCCAGCCACATACACCCACAGCAGCAGGCTGCATCCCGGACCTCCTGAGGACCATGCGCATGGCTCCATCGCCAGGCACCCTAAATCCTCACGGGGGGGGAGGGGGAGGGGGCACTGCCAGCCCTACGCTCCACCCCAGACATCTCCATACTCACAAACCTGCTGCTTCTCTCACTGTGTGACTCCCACATCGAATGCCCCCTCCCTGCTGGAGCTGGGGCACCATCGCCAACGCTCCTGAAGAGGGACAGGCGACCAAGGGACTCTGATCCCTGGATGACAGCACTGGGACATTCCATGCTTGCCAAGGAACAGGCCAATGGACAGAGGACAGGAGCTGGGGACAGGATTCCTGGGTTCTATTCCCAAGGTGGCCACAATCCCGCTGTCTGAGCCGAGACAAGTCACTCCACTGCTCCCTGCCTCAGTTTCCCCATCTGGAAAACTGGAATAATTCTACTGACGGGGGGTTGTGAGAATTATGGCGCAGTCACGGGCCAGATCCTGCTCTCGTTAAAGCCAATGGCAAAACGCCGATCCTTTTCGACGGCTCCAGCCTCGTGTTGGGTGACGCGCTAAGAACTCTTAGGAGTCCTGCACCGTCAGAACCCCATTGTGCAGGGCCCATGGGCATGACCCAGGGAGTGAGGGGGTGAACCCCGAGGAAGGGGGACTGCTTTGGAGGGTACGAGTGGGAATCACCAGGGCTAAAGGGAGGGCACCCTGACGATTGGGGGGTCTCACATTAACCCCACGCTGCACACGCTGCTCAGCCGGGCTCTCTCCTTGCCGAGGACTCCTGCCCCGCTCAGACCAGGCATTGGATGAGGTTGCTACACAGCTCAATGAGGAGACTACACTTGGGACGGGAGAGGCCCTGCCTGCGTTTCGGGTGCAGAAGGAAGCCGGCCCCCGGATGGCTCTGCTCGTTCAGCCAGACGGCGGCTGGTCAGAACCCGCTCTTTACCTGCCTGGTCTGCATAAAGCCACAGGATACAGGAGTTTGGGTACTTCAGGGGCCCCCCCAACGGGCCCCCACCTTCCTCCTCTCGCTGCCGATGCAGGAACTCGCTATGGGGGATCCCAGTTTCTTCAAATACTTGCAGGCTCCTGTACAGCAGATGGACAGACAGAGACAGCTCAGAGGCTGGGTTTGGAGCAGATTTCCATCTGCCCAGTCCCCTCGGGGATACGGCGAGAGGGAACCTTGAACGCACAGGAAAATCCAACCCTCCCACTTGGGGGAAAGGTATCTGCCCCTTCCTGGAGCCTGATGTACTGAGTATGCCCAGAGCCAACTACCAGCTCCTTGGGGAAGAGGCTGGGGGAGGGAGGGGGTAACGCATGGAGCACCCAGCTGGCTGACCATAAGAACCACCCCCCAAAATGGCGCTGAGACAGGCCCTGCGGGGGTAGGGGAGAGGTGCTGGCACCCGTCCTGCCTCTTCCCGTCAAGAGTCCCTGCAGGGAAGGGGTTGGTACCACGGCTCAGAAAGGTCACAGAGCAACGGAGGCAGCCGGCAGAACAATGACTGCGTCTCTCCCGTGCGAACGGGGTGGGCGTTGCTCCGCTTCCCCTGCGGGCAGGGCTGGGTTGGCAGAGTCTGTTCGAGGCGACAAGTCCGATCTCGCCGCGGCCCCGTTCCCACAGCTCCGCGGTATGTTACTCAGCCAGCACGGCAGCTTTCGCTTTAAATAGCTCGAGAGAAGCTGCTGCTGCTGCTCCCCTTGCCAGGTAGAGCCGGCAGCGCAGCCAGCGCGATATGGGCCCGTGGGCAGCGTTATACCAGTTGCCAATGGCCACCCTATTTAGGGCCACTGGAGGTCCTGGCCACCCTCGCTGATGCCTCCGAGAGCAGCAAGGATGCTCCTGCTAACAGGCCCTAGGCTTGCAAGTCAGGGCTGGGCCTTCACTGCAGAGGGCCCTGGGCTTTGGCTCCCTTCAGAGCCTGAGCTGGGTGATGTCCTAGGCACAGTGCTAGGCCGCTCCAGCCACTCGGGGGTGGGGAACGGGAACCTGCTCCCTCTGGCTTTGGGCAGCAAGTCGCCTCCATTGCCTGTTTCCAGCTGTCTCCCTGCCGACGGAGCAGCACATTTCATAAACCCCCAAAGAAACGCAAACCACGCCCTGGTGTGATAGGCAGCAGCTGGGACTTTCACTCCCTCTCCCTGTCAGATCACCTCCATCAGCCTGTAGCAGAGATCAGGGCCGCCCAAAGAAAGGCTCTGCCCCGTCTCTCGAGATAACGGTATTAGACCCTCACGAACCGCCCGGCCTCTTGCTGATCCCACAGAGTCCAAGGACCAGAGACTGCTCTTCATCCAACGCCAGAGAGATGAGAACCACCCTCCTCCAGCCCCCCAAAATCTCTCTGCATCAGCTGGAACCAAGAGGTCAGATCCAATTCCTCCCTCTCTGCGATGTCACTCCATGCAAGCCCCGCCCCTCACAGTCCTCTCCCTTCTCTGTCCCGCCTCCGCACGTGACCTGGTGCTAGTCTAGTGAGTGGCAACGGAAACCGACAAGAGGCCAGCGAAGTTTGTTCATCAGATGGTGGACAAGAGGCGAGCATGCCCACTTCCCCGCGAGGGGCCCGGCCATGGCAGATCTGCAGAGAGGCCCAAACCTCAGCAATAGCAAGGGAGGCCGCAAACGGCATGTGCCGCAGGGCCCCCGAGACCAGCTCTCTCCAGCTAGCCAAGCTCACCTGGCCACTTTGCGCTTATCGTGGGGATGCAGCTTGGCAGCCATTTCCGGGTCCACTTGGCTCAGCCGGCAATGGAGCTCGCGGCCATCCAGCTGCTCCAGTTCCACCCTCCGGTCGGCTGCTCGCCCAGGGGAAGGGCTGGTCTTCTCCTGTGGGGCACAGATCAGCCCGCCCAAGTCAAACCTCTGCGAATGTTCCTGCAGGTCAAAGCGAGACCCAGCTCAAACCTGCTGCGCCTGGGACCCTCCGCTTCCTAAGGGGGCGATGGTGGGACAGATCAGAAAGAAGCCCAAATGAAAACCGGGCAGCCAAATCTCCTGAGCTCTGGGGCAGTGCAGAGCCAGACCCGAACATCACGCCTCAGGCCCAGCTCCAAGCAGAGTTGCTGCCTACGAGCCTACCAAAGAACTCACGGGTCTACCACCTTGCGCAGGGCACTGGCTCCCTGCCATTGGCTAGGGATTGCCACAAGAGCCTGCTGCAATAGTGTACCACCCACAGCACTGGTAATCTGCCTCCAGGCACCTGCTTGGTGCTGACTCAGCTAACAAGATGCTAATGCAATGAAAGCATGTCCTCACCTCTTGGCGATTGCCTTAGGCTGCTGCCGAGGGAGTGCGTTACCTGGATGCACGTGGTATGTTGTTCTGCACGAAGGGGGTTACCCGGGCATAGTGTAGCTGTAGCATTTCAAGGGAGGAAGGCGAATCTGCTTCCAATCACAGCAAGCCCAGCAGGGACCTGCCTCACCCAGGAATTGCTGCCCCCCAGAGCTCCTACCTTGGTATCGACAAGGACCTTCCAGAGCAGGGACTCGATGTAATAGTTGGTGCCTCCCACAACAATTGGGATCGTCTCTCGAGCAAATATATCTTCAATGTGACCGGTTAAGGAGTGCGAGACACAGAGGGGCTCTGCGAAATCTCAGCATTCGATGGAGGGAAAGGGAGCTTGTCACAGCCCGTCTACACCATGGACACAACTGTGTCTGGTTGCTACACATGTCTCCGGAAATCCAGTCTGGTCTTGTAGCATAGACAGGACTGAACCAGGCTGAGCCGGAGCCCTGCTACTGCTAGGTCATCGCATGTCTCAGGGACACAGATACATTTGTTCAAGCCTCTCTGCAGTGCAAACTAAACTTGGCTTTAATCTGCCAATGGACAATGGCGCTGTGACTGCGTCTCTTGATGCAGCTGGCTATAAAGTAGACCAGCACCTGCTCTCAAATCCTGGGCTCCCTGCAGGAGTCCACTGATCTATTTCAAACCTGACCAACTTGGGTTTGGGATGAGATTATCATCCCCCTCTCAACTCCACTTCTCCCCACTAGCCACGTCCACCCCAGGCACTAATGCTGCAGGTGGTACGCAGCAAGCTAGAGGGCTCTACCCGACAGCTGCCCGGGTAACCCCAAATTCGAGTGCCTTCCATCAGGCCAGCAGCACTGTTTTTACAAAACATTGGTTGCCGAGCTGCTCCTCTTGCTGGCCTGACACGAGATGACCAGATGCCCACACATGGACAAAGAGGGGTTTGGACAAGCTAATGCTTCTCCGACAACAGCAGCAGCTCAACTTCCCGCCGCCTTTAACATTCTCCCACCAGCTTTAGTTTCTAAGGAAGTCACTCCTGGAAGAGAGCGAGCGGCTGATCCAGGCAATCGCCCGGGCCTAGGTGCAGGGAAGGGGCCAGGGAGAGAAGGGAGGAGCCACTGGCCAGTCGGACTGCTCTGTGAAAGGATATCAGGGCCGCTGCTTTGTTCCGGAAGTCCACCACAGTGTAGTTAGAGACCAAGGGATCCACAAAGCTGATCATGTGGTGTCTGCACAAAGCCTGCTCCCGGAGAGAGATCTTGTTTGTGATGATGTCCAGCCCCTTGTACACCTGGAACACAGAGAGCAGGAGATAAGAGTCCGAATTCCCCTTCACTCCCCACAGAGCCCCCCCCGCCCCTCCACCACACAGGAAAAGGGAGGGATTTGCTCTCCCTCCCCAGCCCCATGACCACAGACCACTTCAGCTAATCCTTCATGCTCTCAAGACATTCCCCTTCTTCCCTCTCGAGCCATCCTCTGACCCAGCCGGAGATCAGGACACAGGCCATGCAAAGGAAGGCCGGCTTCAGCCCTGGCATAAGCGGACTCGCCAATCAGGGCAGCATCTGCTTGCGCCGGAGCCAAATACAGCCCCACGTGCGTTACTGACACAAGCGTGTTCCAATGACCCAGCGCTTGGAGAGCAAGGGCAGAGCCGCTGATCAGGGAGGGTAACCTCGCCGAGCCGAGCTCCGAAGTGCAGCCCTCAGACAACAGCCTGTCTTCATGAACCTCAGCGGGGTTTTTGCTGGTAAAAGTTCAGGTGCAGCTCTGTCCAAACGCAGGGCCCCACAGAGCACAAAGCCCTCTGCAAACACCGACTGACTCCACGGAGCCCCAACTCGTTAAAAGCTGAGCTTATCACCCATTTCGCTTGGTGACACGTCGGGCCAGGTACACAAAGGAAAAAGGTTATACATCAGCTCAGGTCAACAACCCCCAAAGAGAGGGGGCAGCCACTCTCTGGAGTTGCATTAGTTCTGCCACAGGATTAGAGGCCCTTAGAATAGAATCAAAGTCTCCACGTTTAGAGGTAAGCTGATATTTACCAAATCTCAACACCCAGACAATGGGAATTCTGGGCTTCAAAGGGTCCTGGGTGCAAGCCCCAAGAACCAGTGAGAGGGCAACAAGGGAGCGGAGAGTGGTAAGGGAGCTGCACAGAGGAAAGCCTGGAGAGCTGGAGGCTGAGGTTTTGGTTACACTAGGATCCCTCCAGGTGTTAAGTAGACCAGGGACCACATGGCCACCCTTAGTCTAGGCTCCAATCATGTTAACAGGAAACCCCAGTGGGAAAGCGCAGTGCAGAAAACCCTGAGGGTTCCATTTATAATAATAATACCACCTAGCTCTTCTCTAGCACGTTTCATCAGCAGATTTCAAAGTATTTTACAGAGGAGGGTCAGTATCCTCCCCACTTCACAGATGGGGAAACGGAGGCACAGCGCGCTGACGTGACTTGCCCGCGGTCAGCCAGCAGGCCCGCGGCAGAGCCGGGAATAGAACTCAGGTCTCCTCTGGCCCAGGCTAGTTCCCGCACAATTCTAAAAAGATACACAGTTCCCTTTGAAGGGGAGCCAGGAACTCACGCCTCTGACTATGTGCATGGGCCTTGGACAGGTCCCCTTCACCTCTCCCCCATCAGTAAAATCGGGGACAATACTCCCCTACCTCCTGGTTAGGGTGACCAGATGTCCCGATTTTATTGGGACAGTCCCGATATTTGGGGCTTTTTCTTATATAGGCTCCTATTACCCCCCACTCCCTGTCCTGATTTTTCACACTTGCTATCTGGTCAGCCTACTCCTGGTACCTAATGAGTGAGGCGCAATGGGCGTTTGGATGGAATATGCAGTGCCTACGCCCCGCAGGGCTAAGCGAGCGAGGGTGGGTGGGTGGGACCTGGGGAAGAGAGAACCCTGCCTGTGTCCAGGAAGGGCAAAGGACTAGCAGTAGATGGGTATTCTGAGAAGATCAAAGACCCACTGGGTTCCCCACCTTCAACGGGGGCCCTTCCATGTTCAACGTTTGCTGAAAATTCAAGGGGTCTTTGGTAGAAATAAACGTCTGACCAGAAAGTCCAACTCGCTTTGGGTGACTCATTCCTGTCAGCTTTGTAACGTTTCCTATCACGGGACTGGGGGTCAGGACTCCTGGGTCCCATTCCTAGCCGTGCCACTGACTTGCTGGGTGACCGGTGGGCAAGTTACTTTGCGTCTGCATGCTTATTTCCCTGTAAAATACAGACAACGCCTCCCGCCCTTTGTAAAGCACGCCAAGCTTTTCAGGTGGCAGGCGCTGCAAAGGGTGGGCAAATTATTATATTCGGTCTAATACAAAAGGAACATGAGATTATCCAGAGCCAGCTGCTCTGACTGCTGCATTCTCTTCGGCGTGATCTCATAGCAGAGTTTATCTCCCTGGTCTGAAAGGGCTGCAGGCTACAGTGGAAATCTGATCAAAAAAAGCTGGCAAGGTAGAGAAACAGACAGACGACAATCAGGAGTAAGAAATTCTCCATTGTGGCTGCAGCTGCTCTTTTCCACCCTGGGTAAGCGTCAGCCCTCCCCCACCCCAGCTCTGAGTCCCAGCTGACACCACTTCACATGGCAGAAACATACACAGAGGCAGCAATTCAGCTCCCTGGATGCTTCAGAGACCAAATCAACCAATGCCCACTAGTGCAGAGAAGAGCATCCCAATCATGGCAAGCCCACGTGCTGATCTGGTGATACCCCACTGATCTCTACAGATGTGTCTTTAACACACACACTTGCATGCCACACACACACACACATCTCTGCACATACCATCCGCAGCTGTTCCTGCAGCTGAGTGGACGTACAGACCTACCTGTATCATTTCCTGCAATGGTGTAGCACAGTGCATGGGGCACTCTGGAAGATGTGTGTTTTGGGTAGTTACCGAAAGAAAATGCACAATCACCGATCAAACCAGATGCACCACAGCCCTTCAGGACCAGAAAAAGACTTGCTACCACAGTCATCAAACGGACTGTGCAGATAGCACCACTGGATCGGATTATTTTCTGAGCCCCTGACTAAGAACATCCCTCAGCTAGGTAGTCTAGTATCGCTGGGCTATTCAATCCCTTCTCTTCTCCTACTCCCTCCTTGCGGAACAGGAAACAGACTTGGGAGCACTTTTCATGTGAAGATCTCAAAGCACCTCATATCATTACATCCCCTGTGAGGTAGAGGAGTTACCTCTAGTGAAATGGAGGCACTCAGGAAGGACCTGCCTATCACACAGCAAGTGAGCAGCACAGCTGGGACTGGACCCAGATCTCCTGGCTCCCAGGCTGGTGACTAGCCGCTGGATCGCGTTCCTTGATTTAGGCAACACAGCTTTTTTTAAAAACAGGCCAACCCTTCTGAAGGACTCTTTGTAAATAGCCAAGCTCTGGCTCCAGGCAGCACAAACATCAAGGTCATGCCCAGGATCCACCCTCTGGGGCGCGTAAATACCCAGTTATGGCCAAAGCTAGGGAACTACCCAGTGTAAATATCAGAGCCGCACTGGCAATTTAGAGCCTCAGCTCTAAGGAATTGTGAGGGTGCCATGAGGAGAGCGTGTTGTTACATCGCTGGGTGTGTCCCTTGCACGCTTCACAGCACCGTGCAACTACAAGTCTCTTCGGTGCTGTATGCCCACGGACCCTGGCACTGGCCTGGCACAGCACAAAGAGCCTCGGATGCTGTTGGCAGCCCGTGCTGAGAAGCAGCTGCGCCACTGCTCTAAAGAGCCTGCAAACAAACCCAGATCAGAGTCGGGTTCTATAGCCCAGCGCTCCCCCGGGACACTCGGCGCTGTGTGCGCGGGCGAAGACACTGCTCATAAAGCAGCCTCTCTGTTCCGAAATCCGATTTCAACGCTTTAAGGGGGACTGGGCCTTCTTTGTGTGAGACACCCACTGAGGCCCTGCTTTGTAACCACGGGGTTCAGCCCCTGGGAGGATATATTCACGGCACAGCTCACGGGCTGGAGTTTTCTGTACATGCCAGGCCTCAGGTTAGAGCCTGCGCTGGAATAAGACCCTGTCAGCCTGGCTTGGTGGGGCGAGAGCAGTCTGTGGCACAGGAGAGCCAGACGTACAGAGCCAGATTATTCCCCACTCTACTTCTGCTAGCTGCCAACCCTTCAGCCCCCCAGTCTCCTGCAAGTGGTGCTCAATGGATCCCATTGGTGACTTGCTAGGGAGAGGCGGAGGACAATGGAGAAGAACAATGTGAGGTTACTGGAGCAAAACAGCTCCATCCCTGGCTTGGAGCAAGCCACCCCACACACCTTCAGCCCGCGACCACCCTCTAGTTTGTAGATGTGCTGCTTCCCTTCAGACAGGGCCCCCGGAGCAACTGCACACAACAGGGAGAAAGGAAGGAAGGCCACCCCGTCCCCAAACCAAGCCAGCTCAGGGAAGGGTTGCCCAGAGACTCAGGCCACGTGTACCCTGGAAACCTTGGCGGTACAGCAGTGGCAGTTAGGGAGGTGACTTTTGCAACATGCAAAAGCCCTAGTGTGGTTACAGTTCTACCAGTGCGAGAGTCCTTTTGCTGGTATCGCTCATTGCCCTCACTCAAGCGATAAGCGCCACTGGTACAAGCTGTGTCTCCATGCGGAGAGCTTGCCAGCAGAGTTAGACCGGTAGAACCGTCCCAGCAAACCTTGTCTTGTGCAGTCCTGGCCTCAGCCGGCAGCAGCAGGGACAAGCAGCCGATGACTCTGCCGATGTCATCTGTGCCCGATCGCTTTCTCCCCTCGTTTTGACTCTGGCCATTCTCCCCCCGAGCTGATTGGCCGTTTGCTCCAACACCCTCCACATCTTCTTTGGCTCAAGCTCACTCCGCGCACCCCTTCTTTTCCTTTCCCCTATTCTCCTTAGCCCCCTTAGTCTCTAATTAGCGAATTCTCCTCCCAGTACAACCACACCCAAACAATTCAAAACAAAACCACCAAACCATGGCACTAACTTGACAGGTACCATCTGTCACCCTTGCTCCTGTGCTACAGCCCTTCTCCCTTAACCCTGTGTTGGCCTGTTTAGATCACTAGCTCTTCAGGGCAGCAATCTTCTGTTTGTGCAGCACCAAGCACAGTGAGGGGCCTGATCTCAGCTGGGCTTCCGAGGCGGTCTCCTAATAATAATGCCCTGGAATGGCATGGGACGCTCAGATCAAGGGCAGGGAGGAAGAAGGAATTTATGTTGGCCCCTACAAAACAGTCAGCAGATTGGAAGGGACCATTGTCAATATCTGCCAAATTCTTTGG